TTTTCTTGAGCTTCCATTCCAGCAAACAATAAATGATGTTGTTCCAGACGTTAACCTGTATGACTTCAAACTTTCTGATTACATTATCATGAGCACACACGCCCATACTCACCCACACGCACATGCACGCAAAGTATAAAAAGTAAGGCTATACCACCACAGATAAAGCTTTGTCGATGGAGTAATGGGCTTTCCTGATGGCAAGGGACCATAATATTCTCTAAAGAAGTTAGAGCTGCAGACTGGAAAATGAAGAATATAGCGTGGGGGATGGGAAATTCCAAGACATACTCTGAAACACCCAGAGACTGGATTCAGTTCAGCGTTTATGATAAACTGATCCTTTCCCCCGTCTTGCTTTTAGTCTCCTTTGCTTTTTTCCATCCTCACCTGGAAAAAGATGTCTCCTTCGACTTACCCAGTGCAGAATAATGATTTGCCTATCAGTGCTCAACTCATTAAACTGGGGAAGCAGTAGGCTGTTGGATAAAGGGAGGGAGTCAAGCAGGAAGGGAGAAATCTAATAGGAATAATCAATGCTACTATATATGATGACTTTATCCACTCTGCCTGCGTGCATTGATTTAGCCTAGCTGTGCATAATTCCAGCACTGAATACACTAAATACAACAGTGAATCAATAAGGCTATAAACCATGTGTTGAAGAAAGCGCTATCATCAGTTGAAGTGTGCACTTGAGCAGAGTCCACCTTGAAGGATACAACCACAGGCAGCCAGGAGAAAGCAATATATGAAGGCACTCTCATCTCGGCCGGGTCTCACGCTCTGCTGAACATCATCAGTGTTGAATTACACCTTAAACTCAATAAACACACACACCACACTCTCCGAGCTCACCTTCCACCTGCCCACTGTCTGCCCACAATATTTGTAATTATCAACCGTATGAAACTCATATATGACTTGCATCATTAAATTAGAAACCCAGCCACCCTCCAAAACAACATATTTGGGCTGGAAATAAAAGAAGTCATAATGCTCCCTTCTTTGCAGCTAATGTCACAACAAATCAAAGCAATATGAGCAGAGAATGAAATCCAAATCTTTTTGGAAGGGCTTTTTTTTCCTGCACACGCTGCATGAGGCAGGATGTCCCTAACAAGGCATGGCATTTAGAAAGACTAATAGTAACCTAGTGTGTTTCCCTCATGAATCTTGGGGCTGATGCAGTACAATTCCATTAGCCACCTTCCTCCAGCTGAGAGCTCTCTGTCTGTCATTCATCACCAGTTGCAGCACAACACAGTAAGAACAGCAATGAAAATTAACTTTCCCCGCCACGCTCCTCCATTTGTCTGTCGTTCTCTCTCACTTACCCTCCCTCCCCCCTCCCAAACTTTCTCCATCATAATTAACCTCTAATTCCTGCAGTTTCTATTCTGTGTGCGAATAACAAATGGGAAATAGGGTCTTCCCATGACATCTGGCCACAAGCTGCTCCCTTTTGATACTACAAATACATCGGGAATGGCTAAATATCAGTACTTGCTGCAAAGACTTCAGGTCAGTCCACCTGAATAGAGGTAAATTTCTTTCAAAAAGAAAGAAAACTTTCATTTCAAATTGATATTTTATGGGAGAGTGACTCATCTTGATTTTTTTGTGATGTGCATGTAGCCTATGTGTACCCTGCTTGTTTCTCCATGCCACTGAGTATGCAACGGGGTGGAACAGCAGCTTCTGTAAAACGCAGCAAATAGTCGCTGCTGCCGTCAAAGTCAAAAGCACACTTTGGTGCAGGAATCGTGTTCCTATATGCTTCCTGTATCCTGTATGCTTTTTTATATTGTAATTTTTGTGTGGATTAAGTTCAGGGAAACATTTA